CTCCTCCGAAACCGTAAACCCTAGAGTTACGAAACCTTCACCGATGTCTTCGACTACTTGAGAAGACTTTTCAATCTTGGTATTGCGAAATGATAGTTCGAGCACTTTGAAGAGTTATTGCCCCCTGAAAGTTTTTGTTCCTCACGAATAATGAAAAAAATTTAAACGATTAATCGTAGAGACACGAAACCAACTGCATTGGATTCTCCTTCATCTGACCTTCAAAATCTGTTCAAGGTCAAAGGTCAAGGTCACTCTAAATATGAGAAATATAGCTCCTTTTATATCTCTTTTGTCTTACAACATATATATCATAACATTAAATACATCATATGTCCTTTTAAAACTATTTTCAGATTTCACTTTTCAACCCCTAAGCCTGACGCATTAAAAAGTTCTTGCCCCTTGTGCGAAAAACCTTGTTATCGCTACTCCTCCGAAACCATTGACCGTAGAGATGCGGAAACTTCGACAGTGTCTTCGACTACTTTAGGGACTTTGACCTTGAAATTTAGGTCAAGGTCAAAGGTCAAGGTCATTTAAAAACATAAGAAATTCCTTATATATGTGTAAAATATAGCAATTCACCAAATGACCTTGAACTTTGACCTCGACCTTTGACCTTGACTTTGGGTCAAATGGAAAAGTAAGGACTTGCATTCAGTTCCAGTGTCAGGTAAAAACTTAGAGACTAAAGATTTCTTGTTTTTTTTTTTTTTTTGTTTTTTTTTTGTAATGACCTTGACCTTTGGCCTTGACCAAAAGGTCACAATAAGGCTTAAGGATGTGGAAGTTGTTACAATTCTTAGTTTAAAAGAGGCAGAAAAGAAATAATTCACCCCTCCTTCTTAAAAAAAAAAAAAAAAAAATCACATCAACAACAACGTAGAATATTACTCTAGAATTCAAACCAGACCTCGGATCGACACCAAATTCGGTTTAAAATGTAGTATAGACCTCAGAGAAACTTTCTGGAGAGTTTTACCGTGAGTCTTATAAGTTTATAGAAGTCATGAAGTTTCACGGCAAAAACTACAAGTTCTGTTGTGTTTGAAAGTTAAGTGCAGGTGAACGAAGAAATGATCTGAACCTTTTATCGGCTATTTCTTCAGATGTCGTTAGCAGCATTCGATTCTCCTGATATGATACGACATTTTAATACCAAGCATTCTCTCTTTCTTTTACATTTGGAATTTATTTGATTTTTATTTAGAATTAATCAGTTTCCAGAAATAGCGATTTTCGGTAGATTAAAAACAATTCTCGCTTTCATTGTCGTGTTTGCCTTCTAAAAATGCATGTTGGGAATTTAATTTGGGCTACACATATTTAATTTAACCCAAAGAAATGCTTATTTAAATGTTTCATATTTATTTCAGGATATTCAGTCAGAAATGTTAAAATCCGAACCCGATATTTTAAGCTTACAACAAAGCTATTTACAAAAAATTCAGCATGCTCACAATATCGATGAATCGGGCTTACAGTCCATTAATACATTTTCATTAGGGAACAGTGTTAACGTTTTCTCACGCAGCCCGTCCCTTGCTATTTTATATACTGCTTGCAAGTTCAGGAACTATTTCCTTTTACGGAACTTCTTTCTTCCCCTACCGATTCTAAAAATACGCTTGCATTTCTTCTATAGTCTTAAACAATTAACTTATGTATGTTATCGGAATGCGTGGCCGAATGGTTAGCGCACCTGCCTTTCAATCCAAGGGTTTTGAGTTCGAGCCCAGCTGGAGGAGCAATTTTTTTTTTTTTTTTTTTTTTTTTTTTTTTTTTTTTTTCCATTTTTTTTTTTTTTTTTTTCAGCCCAGATGACACGGAAACACTTAAAAAGGTGGAAAGGCCTCTAATTGTTCTCTGAACAATTAGTTTACTAGTTATTATTATTATTCTTTTTTATTCTTATTTCTTCTCCGGTACTTTTTTGTCCGCGAGTGTTCTCGGAAACTGCACATCCAATTGAGTTAAAACCTTTTTAGGGTTACTAGGTATGTTATGTAGATTTGCGGAACGAAGGTCATTTTGCGCGCACGTGCACGCACGTGCGTGCGCGCGCAATGCGTAAAATGACCAATATACATGATATAGCTGTAACTTTTATATTTTTTGATGAAATGCTTTGATACTCAGAATACAAGGATGTATTAAAAGTGTAGACAAGATGACATGGTCAACATGCACATGCATGCACGTGCGCGCACGCGCAAATCGTAAAATGACCAATTTACTTGATATAGACGTAACTTTTATATTTTTTGATGAAATGATTTGATTCTCAAAATATTAAAAGTGTAGACAGGATGACATGGTCATCATGCACATGCATGCATATGCATGCACGTGCGCGCGCATGCAATGTGTTAAATGACCAATATATTTAATATAGTCGTAATTTTTATATTTTTTGATGAAAAGCTTTGATATTAAGAATATACAGATATATTACAAGTGTTGACAAGATGATGTGGACATCATGCACATGCATGCACATGCACGCGCGTGCAATGTGTTAAATGATTAATATACTTAATATAGCCGTAACTTTTATATTTTTTGATAAAAAGCTTTGATACTAAGAATAAACAGACATATTATAAGTGTAGACAAGATGGCATGGTCATTATGAACATGCATGCAGGTGCGCGTGCGCGCAATGCTAAGATGACCAGTATACTTGATATAGCCGGAACTTATATATTTTTGATGAAATGTTTTGATACTGAGAATATAAAGATACATTAATAGTATAGACAGGATGACATGGTCATCCTGCACATGCATGCACGTGCGCGCGCGTGAAATGGAAAAAACGACCAATATACTTCATTGCCTTCTTTAATGAAGCTTACAGGAAATAAGACACCAAAAGGGAGTTGGGGAGCGTTTGGGGAACATCTGTAACGGTGCCCGTTACAATTATAACTAGTTTTTGGTGAAATGCTTTGATACTCAGAATATAAGGATATATTAAAAGTGTGAACAAGATGACATGGTCAACATGCACATGCATGCGCGTGCGCGCACACGCAAAGCGTAAAAAGACCAATTTACTTGATAATATCGTAACTTTTATACTTTTTGATGAAATGCTTTGATACTCAAAATATTTATATATATATAGAAAGAGTAGACAAGATGACATGGTCATCATGCACATGCATGCATATGCATGCACGTGCGCGCGCGTGCAATGTGTTAAATGACTAATATAATTAATATAGCCGTAATTTTTATATTTTTTGATGAAAAACTTTGATATTAAGAATATATATATATATTAAAAGTGTAGACAAGATGATTTGGCCATGATGCACATGCATGCACATGCGCGCGCGTGCAATGTGTTAAATGACCAATATACTTGATATAGCCGTAACTTTTATATTTTTTGATGAAAAGCTTTGATACTATGAATTAACAGACATATTATAAGTGTACACAAAATGGCATGGTCATTATGAACATGCATGCATGTGCGCGTGCGCGCAATGCTAAGATGACCAATATGCTTGATTTAGCCGGAACTTATATATTTTTTGATGAAATGTTTTGATACTGAGAATATAAAGATGCATATATAGTATAGACGGGATGACTTGGTCATCCTGCACATGCATGCACGTGCGCGCGCGTGAAATGCAAAAAATGACCAATATACTTCATTGCCTTATTTAATGAAGCTTACAGGAAAAAAGGCACCAAAAGGGAGTTGGGGAGCGTTTGGGGAACATCTGTAACGGTCCCCGTTACAATTATAACTAGTTATTATTATTATTATTATTTTTCTTTTTTTCTACTTTCTTCTCCGGTACTTTTTTGTCCGCGAGTGTTCTCATAGAACCACTCATCCGATTGACATGAAACCTTTTTAGGGTTAATAGGCATGTTGTGTAGGTGTTCGGAACGAAGGTCATTTTGCGCGCACATGCATGCACGTGCGCGCGCGTGCAATGAGTGAAATGACTGATATACTTGATGAAGCCGTAACTTTGATATTTCTTGATGAATTGCTTTGAAACTCAAAATATAAAGATACATTAGTAGTCTAGACAAGATAACATGGTCAAATTAGCGTGAACTCACGCGCATGCACGTGCGCTCTTCTCTGATTGGCTGATACAAAAATCTCAATGATTTCCTTGTTTTTTGACAAAATACTTTGAAATTTAGAATATAAGTATATATTATAAGGTGCTACAACATGTTATATAGGAAATTTCTTGAAAACACGCGCATGCAGGTGTGCTGCAATCTGATTGGTTGAAACTTTAAATGTCTATAACTCCCTTGGTTTTCAACAAAACAGGATGAAATTTATGACATGGATAGGCACAGAGAGCTCCTACATTATAATACTATCAAAACTGAATGCAAGGACCTGCATGTGCGTATGCTGAATTCTGATTGGCTAATACTTAAAGGGTTACATCTCTCTTATTTTTCAATGAAATTCTTTAATATTTAACACAACTGTATGTATTGTGAGACACTATAAAAAAAATTAAAGTGAAAAATGTAGAAAACATGTGCAAGCACATGCGCTGAAATTTGATTGGCTAATACCCATATGGCTATATCGGAGTAGTTTTCCAATGAAATACCCTTAAAAATAAAGTGTCCATCTATATTACAAAAGTATTGTCTAATTTATTGAAGCTTGTAGAAAATGGGGCATCATAAGGGATTTGGGGAGCCGTTTGGGGAACATCTGTAACGGTTCCCGTTACAATTAGCACTAGTTGTAAACAGTTTCAACAGTTGCTGTCAGGAAGCACGCTACTTTTCTGGATACGTCTGATGTTTTTATAATAAAAATCCGTTCTGACAACAATTTGAGTTAGCAAAAATGTTCTAAGGTCTTTTCTCCTTACATGTCCCCCTTCACAACGTAACCCTTTTTATCGTTTGACCTAGATTTCTTTATTTACACAAACTGGTAAATGGACAATACTCCACAAGCATGACGAGAAATGAAATATTGTACATACCCTGGCTTTTGTCCACCTTTGGTTTTGGTCTCTTCTTGAAAAGTTTGTTTTTAAACATGTCTGAAAATAAAGGATAACACTTAATCAAATTCGTGTTAGCAATTCAAAATAACAAACTTATCGCGACGTGTGAAAGTGCAGGTTCTTAAACAACAAAATGCATATAAATAAGATGACAAAAGCAGTATTTACCCATCTTGTTTATTAATTGTCACTACTTCCGCTACAAGAGATTTCGTTCACGGTGAACTTTAGGTCAGTTATAAAACTCCGGGAATTCCAGTGTGTCACACAATCCTAATACGTTTGGAAATATCTGTTTTTAAAGTGAAGTCGGGCGTTTCTTTTCAAAGTGTAGCAAGCACAGCCACTCGATTAAATGCAAGCCTGTTGTTTATTCATGTGGAAATCACTTTAAATAGATATTAAGTATATTATGCCAAATAACAACACAAAACGAATTATTGAAAAAAAAAATTGTTCATCAGATCTATGTTTATAGGAAACCCTTAGCAGGGGATATTTACATTTCTTAGTAATTCAACTCTTATTTTCATAATAGAGTAAAGTATGTGACCTGCGTTGTCACTCGACAAATCATTTTATCATCAAGTGTTACAGTCGATTACTGTCATTTTTGAAGTATCTAATAAATGAGTATGGATGTACATGTATTAAATACAGCAGTCTTTAACCGAAGATTTAAGGGCATATAGTTTTTGCTCTGTCCGTCCGTCTGTCTGTTTGTCGGTAAATCTGTCCGCAAAACCTTTAACCTTGTCCTTAACTTTAGATTGGTTGGAGCTATGTCTTTCATATTTCACACAAGTAATCCTTGTTGTATAGGTTATATTGCAATCCCTTATTTAGAAGTGTACCATGGCAAATCAAAGTCATCTATATGCCTCCGCCGAAGAAATTAAACACTACAAAATACCTAGTTTTCATTCGATGCATTTAAGGAATTAAGTGAAAAAAAGGATAAGTATACATATACGAATTTAAACTAATTTTTATGCCCCCGTATCAAAATTTTTGGGGCATATAGTTTTTGCGCTGTCCGGCTGTCTGTCTGTCACTCTGTTTGTCCGCATAACTTTTAACTTTGCCCACAACTTTTGACCCTTTGACCTTAACCTTGGAGTTTAGCATACTTTTGTAAAACTTTAACCTTAGGTACTAATTTTGACCCTTTGACCTTGATGTTAGAATTTCACCTACTTTTGAAAAACTTTAACCTTGGTCCTAACTTTTGAATGGTTGGTGTCAGGGCTTTCATATTTGACGTGTATTTCTTGTGACAAGACCTTATTTCTGGTACCAACATTTTTGATCTCTTGACCTTGACCTTAGAGTTTGACTTGCATTTAAGAAACTTTAACCTTTGGCATGAGCTGCTATACAGGGACATCAGTGTTTCATAAACACATTTTGTTTGTGTAATCTTTTACTTCAATGAATATATATATATATTTTTAAATTTATATATAATTTTTGTGTTGCCTGTAGAGCAGAGCGACACTTGGGAATCACCTTACTTGGCGTTTGTCTGTCCGTCTGTCACACCTTATATCTCCAGAACTGTAAGAGATATGGATTTGATATTCTGCTCATATATTGCTTGCCAATATGGCTTTTGTAAAATACCATTATTACCGACCTCGTGACCTTTGAACTTGACCTTTGACCCACTTTTCAAAATAGTTCATAGTGCCAATAAAAAGCATAATTTTGAAATTTAAGAGGTAACCCTATGCTATTTAGCACTGTTTGTCAGAAAACATTTATGAAAAATACCAGTGTTACAGTCAACTTGACACTGACCTTTGACCTACTTTGCAAAAATACTCCGGACGGTTTAAATTACCTTGTGTCTTTTGAATTTTGAGAGGCGGGGTTTTGATAATTAGCATTTATACATGTTTCTGAGCTCATAACATTGTTCTTTGAAACTGTATGATTTAAAGTTACCAAACATAGTGATATTTAAAAACAATGAAAATACATAGGAATCGGTATTCCACAATGCATCGTGAAGTAAAGACATACTAACCATGAAGTCTTCATTGTAGGAAAGTTGGAAGCACGTATCTATAAAATAACAAGTAAAATTAATGCAAAGCATCAAATCGGCAGCACAACAAATCTAGCATTTTCAAAAAAGTACTTTTACAGTTGAGCATCCAAGGAAAGCACAAGATATTCAAAGCTGAAAGCGGGATCGTTTTTATTTGATTTTCAGACTGTCTTCAACGCAAAAACTAAATAAATAAAAATAAAGAAATAGAAATGTAAGTACATTTGTTCATCAAAATTGATTCATCAATTTAATAAAGTCAGTGATAAATGATAAAAATCCTTGTCATCAAGATCTAGGCCTATTTATATTCAGATGTGTCATCCAAATTCTCTAACCTATGCCAGTAATTCAAAATATGCCGAACAATACTGAAACTCATAGGGTGTCTACCTAATTCAGAAAGAACAGCAAATTTTACTTTTGTTAGTTACGCATAATAATGGCATACTATAAAACCTGGCCTGGCCCCTTTGGCCTGGCCTGGCTCTAAGTTGGCCTGACCTCTATTTTGGCCTCTAATTTGGCTCCAAACCAAATTTTGTCCTGGCCTCAAAAGTTGGCCTGATCTCAAATTTGACCTATGTAAAAATTTTTGGCCCCACCCCAAAATGATTTTTTTTTCAGAATTTGATTGATTTGATTGATTTTTTATTGGTTTCAGTTTTTATAGGTTAAAGCAGATAAATAATACATTTCTGTTGATTTGTTAATGTGCACATTAAAATAAACATGTACTTCCACCAATCTGATTTATTTTATTGATTATCCATCAATCAATTTACATACCGGTATATTTCTTTTTATGATTTGAAGACCTTTGTTGCTTGCAAACATTTCATACTGGCACATTACTGATACACTTGTTTGATTAATTACAAAAAAGTCTCATATTTGTTTTTTCCAAATTGCACATTGAAACAAACTCTAGTAATAATCCATATCAAATTTCACAAATAGCTTAAAAAATTCCCACTTGTTAAGTGATCAATCATCACCCTTCACACACTGCACCGCAATTTGTTGTGTTACTGTTATGTCTGCATTCTCTTGAAATTGATATATGAAGTGCAGACATCTAGGAATTTTTAAATAGTATAAATACACTACCATAAACTAAATGAATGCAGATATCAAAAAACGTTTATATTAATTTTACTCTTTTGATTACTCTGTTCAAGTTATATAGATTAATCTCAAAATGAGATGGAATTTAAAACTTAAAATAACATAATCAGATAATTGATAACTCTCTGTTTTGCAGTAATACTGTAATTGGATATCGGATTTATATCCGATTTATATTTCAAAAAAATATTTGCAGCATGGTTCTTGACCGAGAGTCAAGGTTAAGTATTATTTAGAGAACAAGACGGGTTCTGTATCTTAGATACAAATCTGGGGGTGGACGAGTGCGTAGCACGAGTCTCCACCCCCAAATTTGTATCTACGATACAGAACCTGTCGAGTTCTCTCTAAAAGATTTGTGACACGATCAATCAAAAACAAGCACCGCCCACTTTATAGCTGTGCAGCATCTAAACTTCCGCCGCAGTTCGTTTGTTCTCTCTGTAGACGAGGCCTTGACGGTGAGTATACATCAGTATATATATTTCCACGGACAACGTAAGGTTTAGTCAAATTAGTTTTGACAACGGGCCGGGGTAGACGAACAGACTTGAAGTCAGTCTTAATTGATAAGGTGGACGATTTAACCTTGTTGTAGATGGAGATTGATCCTAATTTATTTCAGGGGTCTTAAAATCTCAGTTTAACTAGATACACATACAGGTGATACAGACAGTTTTTCGATGTTACAGATTTTTATTTTCTTATTGAAATGCGACGTTAAAAACGAAGTGAAAGAGATGTGCGGCAGTCGTCAGCAATAAGGATTTAAGATGAAATTAAAAAAAAACCTGAAAAATGGACTTGATTGAGTTTGCACGAGCTAGAGTGGAAAATGGGGGAGGGGGAGTGCGAATTTCACCTAATGTATGCTGCATCCGTGAACCCATTGGCTTTACTATTTTGAAGGGGACACAAAAAGCAGGGAAAGCAAACAGGTTTTCATGAATTTATCCAACATAGGATGTTTTCCATAATTGCGAATTTTCCTTTTCGTTTGGATCGAAATAACGTGTAGATTCTGTGACACAGAATCTACACAGAATCTGTGTGGAATAAGTTTTTAAAAGTGATTGAGAAATTTTGACATTTTGCATTCCTAAGGCTTAATGAAATATTTCTCCAAAATTTATAATAGGAAAAAAATCAGCATTTACTATTTGTACGTGCTTTTGATAAATTGAATAAGATTTATTTTTAGACCATGCTGTATTTTAGATACAGAACAGTTGGCTAATACAAGACAGGAAATAGGGCTAATACAAAACGTAAAGTAGCTCCGCCCACTGTCGTCCCGTTCTGTATTGCTAATACAGAACAACAAACTTCAAAGAAAAACACCGCTTTCGTGTCACAATCAATGATACAACATATAAGTGCATTATCAGTTAAAACACAATGTTTTGCAATTAATTTCCTGCTATAACTTTCTTTTCCCACAATTGTGAAAACAAAAGGTGACTTTGATAACAGTTTAATAACATTGACGTGAAACAATTATTGCATCCTATCAACCAGACTATTAGGACCCTATAGCATTTGGTCAATTACTTGCATATCAAAGTGTTGACAGTATTTTTATCATTTTAAGCAAAAAAGGTCCACATCATAAAAAGGCATTTTAATTCTTTATAACAACAGTTTTAAAGTACAAACCAGTAACACTTAAAGTAACACATATGAATTCTTTTTAGTTCTTATGTTATTATTACCTACACTCATTTCTTTGTTGTCTTGATAATTTAAATTCATGCTTCTAAACTTTTTTACTGTGTAGATATCATCAATTCTGTCTTGGAAATTAAATAAAATCAAAGTCACATTTACTGAAACATTGTGGTATTTTGGCATTGAAAGTAAAACTATATGCTCTGTGTTATAGTCTTCAAAATTGAACCTTATCAAAGAAAATCAATAAAATGAAGCAGAGTGGTGTTAGTGCTTGATTATTTTAATCTGCACATTTCCAAATCAACAGAAATATATTTTTTATCTGCTTTAACTTAGAAAAACTGAAAACCAATAAAAAAAAATCAATCAAATCAATCAAATTCTGAAAAAGAAATCATTCTGGGGTGAGGCCAAATTTTTTTTACAGAGGCCAAATTTGAGGCCAGGCCAAAATTTGGTTTGGAGCCAAATTAAAGGCCAAAATAGAGGCCAGGCCGGGCCAAAGGGACCAGGCCAGGTTTTACAGTATGCCCCTAATAAAAATCTACAAAACTTGTAATTTCTCACAAAGTGATTTTGAATATAATTCATCCAGTGCAACAGGTCCATTTCTAAATCGTGCCGCAGTGGTGTTAATAGCGCCCAAATTTCACTACCGTAAAGTAGTATGGGTTTTATTGTATGATCATAAACGTGTAAAGCTGTGTATATTTTAGGGTTTAATGATAGGAATTTTTTTTGTAATTTAAAAAGTGCTTTTGTATTTTTTTTTTGTAGAGTTCACCCTGAGCAAGTGTAAAACTTCCAGATGCAGTAAAATGAATGCCCAAGTATTTATAAGAAGCAGTACAATAAATTTGCCATCAAATTACTTGCATTATTATATAGCTAATAAATAGTCTATAACAAAAAACTACTAAAAGTCTAGAGAATTTTAGTGTTCAATATCTTGGCGTTTTATTGATCGCTGAGTTTGTATTACGCATATGAGTATGCCCGAAACATTCCGAATACGAGCGCTCAATATCGAACGAATGTCAATTCGATATATCCATGAGCTTGAAATAAACGATACCACAGAGTCTGACACATCTGTTTTATATTTAGAAATTTTACTAGAACAAGAGGCCCAAGGACCTTAACAGTCACCTGAGTATGTATAATACAGCACTGTAAAGGATCCTTAGAAGTATAAAAACAAAATTAACTGATAGACGAAGCAATGTTGCCCAAGAATTTCAAAAATCTGGTAAAAATACCCTTGCTTATTGTAGCATGCTACACCCGAGTGATCTCCTTGGGATCATACTTGGTTTTCCCAAGCCTTAGAGTGATGATAGTGAATGCAAAATATACAAATACAATGAACACTTGCCCATTGTGTATGTCACTTGCCTCGTGCTACAATTCAGTGCACAGAGACTTGGCTATACATTGTATAACGCTGTTTACTTTTCTCTAATTACAAGTCACCCTGGCTCTCTGTGATTCTTTGTTCACTTTGATAATGTATAAAACAACTTTACCCAGTCTCTTGTCAACCTTGTTTTTACCTAATAATAACTCATCCACTGTCAAACAGATCATCTCAGTGTAAACATACTATGTACAATTTCAACTTTTGCTAAATACGCAGGTGTGTTAAGGAAGCACTATGATAATCTGACTTGACTGAATCAGTGATACAATATGACGTCATAGTAGGCGAGATGACGTCAAGTTTACAACACAAGTTTTCTTAATATTGTTATTTAGAGACATAATTTAACTCCTGAAAATAAACAGAAACGTGCAAATATTAACAAGAATCAAACGTTTTTATTTTATTATGCTGTATCTGTCACTTGAATTAAAATCTCCCACCGATGACGTCATAACTGTTCAACAAGTAACTTGAGAATCGATCATGTTGTGTAACGAGAATTTGGCTAAGACGGCATGTAAAAAGATACGTAAAAGGGGGTTTAGAAGCAAATACCGTGAATATTGTGTGTTATTCATGTGAAGTTAAAGTTTGTTAAACAGGTTTGTTGATTTATTTTCATCGATTATATCTTCTATTGAAGACAGTCAGCTATTTACGTATCCCGGTTGGCCTTTCCTCTGTCATTTGTGACAACAATAATGCAAAAGAACAACACTAAGCTGGATATTTAAAAACATAAGATTTGTACATATCGAAAGCTTGTGTTCTAAAATACTTGGAGAGTGCTGCTAGAATCGTGAGGTAAACATGGTTTGAAGAAATATCTCGGGTTATATGTATATAATGCAAAACATAGGGTAAGGTTTCGTGCAAATATGTGGAATAATTATTTTCCCGACCGGACAGTGGGATTCTAGCAGCACTTTTTAGGCATAAGAGATGTTTTTTTAACTATATTATTTACTTAAAGAAATTATTTAACTCCGGGGTATTGTTGTTCTGTGAACTTTTTTATTAAGGAATATTTTGCTATTAATAGCAGTCACGTGATGACGTCGAGGTGATGCACTACTTGGCCTTAGACACTCCGTGTCTTTATATAATAGTTAAAAATAGTTTACGACTTTGACAAATTATCAATCTTAATTTTCTTTAAAAAGTCTAAATTTCTCGAGAAATGATTTGTATGCTTCCTTAACATACCAGCTAGGTAAGATGTGTTTATTTTCACTCAAAATTAAAATTGTTTAATTAATAATTTAGTACGTAGTAGCCTCAATTAGTACATCATAACCGCTTGGTAGGGTCATTGGAATGATGCGATATTGAACACTTACAGGACAGACGTTAATTAAATACCGATACTAAAAATTCTTATTAATTTGAGTTATTTAATTGAAATAATTAATATAAATCAATGGGAGATGTTTTCGCTATATAATAGAGAAGTTATTGAACTTATATTAGTGAATATTGGCACTGGTTGGCTGTGATAACATGTTTATTATTTACAAACATTACTTTTTTTTTGTACAATACAAAAAAAGTGCAGGGAAATACGAAAAGGGTGGGGGTGCAAAGAAAGAAAAGAAAGGGGTTGTAATAGATACAGAATGGTTACGCTGGGTATTCATAAAAATCTTTTCGATTTTTTAATATATTTGTGTACGGCTTTAACTATGATCATATTATTTTGTTGTCCCAAGTTTGGGTCCCCAAATAGAATTGTGTCAAGGTCTATTGTTCCTTTGTTATTTCTTATAGTGTGCGATAATTCTGCTCTTATTTCAGCATAATTCTTACAATACAAAAAAAAAAAGTGTTCAGTGTTTTCATTGGTATATCCACAAGAACACTGAGTGTTATCTGAAAGCCTGGCTTTAAACAGGTCTGACTTAAGGAGACTCACATTGTGTCTCATTCTAGTTAGAATTGAGTTTGTTTTCTTTTCACCAAAAGAAAAATATTTTGGGGGAGATTCACATTTAAGAAGTCTTTTTTTGAAAGCATTTACAGTTTCAAGGTTTCTGATTTCAGAGGGCAAGGCGTTCCATAATGATATTGTAGATGGAAAGAAGGAATTTTTTAATAAGTTCGTTCTACATTTGGGTATAACAATATTATTACAATTTCGTAAATCATACTGGGTTATTTCTGAGACTTCAGGAGGTAAGAGATTCGGTAAATAGTCTGGCGCGAGACCATGTTTTATTTTAAACATTAAACATAACTTTCTCTTTTCTCGTCTATAAGCAAGTGTTTCCCATCCTGTTTCATAATATAAAGAGTTACGGGGAGAGTAAATTGGAAGTCCAGTTACAATACGTGCAGCTTCTAATTGAAGTTGAAGGAATACTGCATAAGCAATACTAGTCCCCTACGGACAGGTTTTATCTTGCTCACCTAAAAAAATTGAGGAGGCCTTATTTCCATCAAAAATCGTTGAAGCGGAATAAAACATGGGTACTCTCCAACTTTTAATTGTTAAAAAATATATATTTACTATAGTTTAATGGATTTATATTTTCAACAATTAAGCTGGGGGAGCCTATGGAATAAAATGCAAACTTGATCTTTAACTCATCAAAGTAGACTCAGATACCAAAACGCAGCTCCATATTCTACAAGTTTTCGAGAAAAATGCGGAAAAAAAAGTTGGAAATCTGGTCCCCCTTAAAAATTTAAAAGGACATAATTCCATCAAAAATCTGAAGTGGAACGAAATGCAAACTTATCCTGAACTCCTCAAGGTACACTCATATACCAAAAATCAGCTCAATATCTGCAAGCATTTGGGGAAAAAACCCAAATGGGACAGAGTCTCATACAGACAAAGGGACAGCTAGACATACAGACAGACGAGGGAACAATTGGTCCCTTCCTTTTTCACCTGCAGGGAGCTAATAAGAAAAAAATGTACAAATACGCTCGTTTCGCATAATGCGTATGAAATCGATAAACATGAGGAAAATACTTCCATCTAATGCATTTTACCTACATGAAAGTCTAACATCTACACAATTTTTTGTTTATTATATAATAAGCCAATTAAAATTACCACTCTAGAATATATCAAGCAAAATGGCAAATTAAATATGTCCCATGACAAATTCGTTGATAGCCTGTGGTGCATTTGTATCGAAACCAACGATGTCCATCATCATGGGATCATTAGGATCAGTGATGGTGAACTTATTGCTGGCCATTCTACAGACGATCAGTCGGGCATGTGTTATCTGCTGGTATTTAACAAGGGTCTTTGAGGTATCACCTTTTTCAAAGTAGGTTTCAGAATCTGTGTAGACGATAAATATGTCGAATTCCTTATTTTGTTCCATGGCGTACAGCATGGGCATAGAAAAGTCGGAATTGCCGACGGGCAGTGAGGCGCATTTGTCCAAGACATTGTGTAGGTTGTCCGAAGATTTGATATCCAGCGGGGTGAGTTTGTCCGAGAAAGCTACCACTTCATAATTTTCCTCCGTACGAGCGGTGACCATTATCATAGCTGCTGCAGCGTCACGTACAGAAATGGTTGGTGTACCCATTACGGGAACATTCATGGACCCACTGACATCAACAGCCAGACAGAATCTTTTTCCGGTGGGCTCCACGTTCTTAAATGACAGATAAAACGCATCCTCTAAAGCTTTTTCTATGTTGACATTCTTTTTCCATTTCATCTTTCCAAGCTCTCCATGACTTTTCTTGTACTGGTTCAAAGCTACCAAAAGTGTGAATGGATGGATTCTCCCGTGTTTAAGTAACTCTGGGTTTGTCAGTTTCTGAATAGTCAGCGTCTCCTCAAAAGTTCCTGGCTCCAAAAGTTCTAAATGGGACATTTTACCCAGATTCCTTATCATCGCTGTCATAGGCATATGTCTGATCAGAGCTTTCCATACCTCCTTTGACTTCAACAAATCAGTAGGTACATGTTCACGTGTTAAATTATGGTCCAGTATTAAGCGTTTCATGATTTCTACATCCCTACAACGTTCAGCTCGAGCTACTGCATCCATAAAGGTCCTCACCTTTTCAAGTTCGGGGTTGTCATGAACTTCTTTAAAATCTATCTCTGTTTTCTTCTTTCCTGCAGTGGTAACCATGATCAGGTAATTGATCTCGGGATGTTCGGGGTCCGGTTTAATATGACAGAGCCGGAAAATATCCTTATGGCTCCAACCAAAGCGATTCTTGTACTTCGTCATAAGACGAGCAAGATTTTCCGCCTCTCCCTTCTTCCCGTAATTAAAGTACCAGTTAGATATGGCGCGGCGGTGCGCACGCCCCCATCCTGCTCCTGCGCTCTCTTCCTTACAGTGCTTAATGAATTCGAATAGGTGTGTTGGGATTCGGCATACATCAGACAGAATTTTATAACCCTCTACCTAAGTTGTGAGGTCGTTTGAACGACAGCAGAGCGCCAATGTGTAGATAATTGGTCCCTGTTTACATGCTCGGTTCTTTACATTGAACTCACGAACCAGCTCTACCACATCTTTGCCTTTTTTGCTGTTTATTAACCTACAACAAAATGTGTCATAATTTCTACCTTAATATGAATATAAATAATTATTCATATGAAATGCAACATTGTCATTCAGTCACAAAAAAGAACAGTTTGTGATGGTTAATGTTACTTGAGGTCACTGTGGCATACCATTGATCATTGCGATTGTAACGAATTCTCAAGTATATACGCAACGTACCTTACATACTGATAATTTTTCAAGATATTCTTAATTTAAGATTATAGTGCCATCAGATGTTCGTAGACATAAAATCAGCATGCATTACCAGGGGTTTTGAAAAGATATCAATTGATGAAAATTCTTGTATGATTTAAAGAAAAATATTCAAAAATTACTAAACATATATTCTAGATGTTTTGTTTATCAAAACTTGTTTTAGAAGAAGTGTACAACAGCATATATAGACATTAAAATGTAGCACACAGTTCCTTTAAGTATTGGAACTCTTCAACTCCTGGGGAAAAGACAATAAAGTTCAAACTACGTTGCGTATGTCCTTAATCTTATGAATGTCAATCAGATTATTTTGCTGACAATTTATATCCAATTTACGTAAAATAATCTTTTTCATATTCACTTACATATAATCTATATCCTGTTATATTCATAATATTTACATTCAATTTACTTCCAAGAAATAAATTTCAAATTCACTCCAAATAACATATTTTCATTTTCGTATCTTGTGACTGATCATCAGCAGAACTACTGTGTTAAAATCACTCTGCTTCTACACACAAGTACTCGGAAGTTGATATTATGAAGTTGTTGGAGGTCCTCATTGACAACATTTATGCAGTCTTCCGAGACCAGGTCTTCCAGCAAACTGATGGAATTTCATTGGGCACTAATTGTGCTCCTTTATTACCTGATCTGTTTTTATATTCCTATAAAGCAGAATTTATTCAAAAAATTCTACATGAGAAGAAGAAAACGCTTTTTGTGGTCTTCAGTTCGATATTCAGATATATCGACGGCGTTTTATCAACTGACAATAATTACTAGTCATTCACATTTCGACACGATATATCCCAGTGAGCTTGAAGTATAAAACAACAAAGAGTCTGCCCTATCTGTTTCATATTTGGATGTTTTACTGACTATAGACGACAAAAGAGATGACCTTAGCTTTTTCTTATTTACGTAGTAATATTCTGCTATCACCAGCATATGGTGTTTATGTCTCCCGACTTATTGGATATTCAAGAGAATGCTCCGAGTACGATCAATTTTTAATATTCGAGGCAGACTACTCACAGATAAGTTGATGTTACAAGAAGTTCAAAAACCTTGTTTAAAGTCCGTCTACCTGATCAATATGTATGGCTCATGGCGGATGTGATTGGTCAACGGAAGATGCTTACTTCTCCTAGGCACCTGATCCCTCCTCTCAAATTTCTGGAGGTCTTTGTTTTATGCCCTGTTACATATTTGTATTGTTTGAAGATTTTTTTTATCGATCACTGTTCGGTTTTATTTTCATTTTCATTCACACAAATCTTCACAGAAGCTCAGTCGGTAGAGCGCTCGTTCCTTGATTAGTGTTTAAGCCCTGGCCAGAACAAACCTAAGTCGAAAAACTGTCCAATCACCAAGCACTCGATACTTTGGAGTGAAAGTTGTGCGTCTTTCGGATGAGACTTTAAATACCGAGGTCCAAGGTCAAAGAATCCTCAATGCTCAATGGCCCTGGGTCTAAATTTAAAGTCCCTCTTTCGCATCGGTGACGTATCATTTTAGTGAAATAATTTTTCAAGGAAAATTGATGATAGAGAGAATCGATGTGAATCACCCGTGGGTTACCGACGATGGGAAAATTAACGTACAAATAATCCGTATCAAATTAAAGTACAAATAATCCGTATCAAATTAAAGTACAAATAATCCATATCAAATTAACGTACAAATAATCCATTTATAAATCGCGTAAAAATAATCTATATCCAATTTATATACAATATGATCATTAAAAATCTACATGAACAAACAGTGATCAATCTCAAAAATACTAAAAACAATACGAGTTGACACTAAGGATATGATCAACTGCCTACACTGAGTATGCCTCACTGATTACACCCACCGTAACCCTCTGTAAACGGAGTAATCCGTACTCAGAATAGATAGCTTTCGATGGACACGATTTAAGCAAGAGTTATTACTTTATTTGATCGCCATATTGGAGGTATACAAGCCTGAATTTCTACATTATTCAACCAATTCAAACTTGTCATACTGGGAAATTGGGTAAAGATAACACATTTTTCTTTCGAATTTATGTTAACACAAGCTTCCTACATGTATAATTCGTAATTTTAGAATTTTAAAGATTTTTGCCCTTAAATTTCTGCCATACAAGTTTAAAATTGGTTGCTCAAAGGGAGGAAAATTCTTTGCGGCCAAGAGAAGTAACTCGCAAGGACATGCGAAAACTTGTGTAACGAATCACGGAGGTACATAAACACTATATAATTGATTGATTGTCCGTTGTTTTACGTTCCATTCGCAAATTTTTCACTCATATAGAGATGTCATCATAAATTGGTGAAGGATTTAAAATGTATGACTCTGCACATATAACTTAATAATTGAACAAAATTGTGAATTTAAATAATAGAATATGTAATCTTTGTCCATTGGGGGACATAGAAGATGAATTCCATTTGTTTTAAAATTTTCACATTACATTAATACAAAAATACATAAAAAGTTACTACCCCCGAAGACCAAGTGTCTTCAAATTGGTACAAATCATGCAAATGCTTAGTACATAGAATGTGAAAGAATTGTAATCTAGGAAAATTTTTGCAAGAACATTGTCTTTAACTACTCTAGGCCTATAGATGAATTACTAATAATATCATTACGTTATATATTGTACATGTTGGATGTTAATGTTATCATTTTATTACATTTTCTCTCACATCTCAAGGTGTGAAAGGATATATCAAAGTAAGTAAAAATAATTTCTGGCCTGTAATAAGATAGAGATAGTAACTAAGCATCTTAAAAGAGACTAAAACCGCCTATTTCTTCCCAAATATGTTGCTTTTAAAATCCATGTTACAATGTTTTCAATCTCACAACTGCTAAACTATGACATCTCACCTGCTCAACTATGACGTCACAGCCTATGACGCTGTGTTAAGAAAAGACAGAGGCAAAGGGAAAATCAAAGAAAATGTAATAAACAAAAAATTCAATATTTTGCAGTTGGATATGGAACTCATGAACTCGTGAGACAGGATTTTTTTTTTATATATTTTCACTCGTACTTCGCACTCGTAAAAATATTTAAAAAATTCCTGTCCCACTCGTGAAATAAATTCCATTCTCATCTACAAAACATTGAATTTACTCTATATATGTACTAAAAATGTTTATGTCAACTGTCCCAATCCAGTTTATACCGTATAAATTGGGAAGCTATTAAATTCATTTCTCAATTACTGTTTTCTGTTTTAACCAAAAAAGGAAAGAAATTCCAAGTATCATTTATGAATTTTCGTCTGTTATACCTATCAATGCAGCGTGCGTTTTCCTTGATCAGCTCGACCTCTCCCGCGTAATATGTCCCGCCTGTTGTTCCGATACACAGGAACCTCTTCAGCTGAGTTATATAGTCTGTCTGATCCCCGGTACTGTTCATAAGCTTTCTTTTATGTTGACTTTTTAAGCCTCCTTCCCCTTTCATTTGTACGGGCCATTCCTTATCGGCATCGTCCATCTCCAAAACTTTCTCATCGTTCGACATTATCAGTCCGGACCAGAAACTGTTTTGTCATAAAGCACAGCTCTTGTTCGTTAAATGCTGTGCATATGTAATGGAATCCCCTTCATCAAAAAAATGCATGCACTATTTCATGCACTAAATATTTTATTTCTTCTAAAACGTCGACACTATTCAGGTCATGTTTACTTTCATTTCTAATCATCCGGGTATTTCTTAAACAGATCTTTGTATCATTTTACTACTGTGGAATATTCGGGTACATAATGTATTAAATGGACGAACAAATTACGATTTTCATGGAAAATGAAAAATGATGATCTTAAGGTATGTCACTCGTGAAATTCGTTATATCAAGGGTTTTTTTAAAGAGCATTTTAGATAATTAAGTACTTGTATAGCATGACTCAAAATTGCAAAGAAAATTGGGGGTCAGTGTACATCTTACTGAGTAATTGTACAATGAACTTGACCTTTTTGCACTTAAATTGTAACTCTTAGGTTAATCAATTTAATTTATATCATTTTTTACCAGATGTAATCATGACAATAAATATAATCTTGTTTTACGTAAAATAGTTTGAATAATATTTATCATTGGACGAATCATGCAAATTAATGTGCTTAAATTATTGTGTGCCCTTTTTGCACTAAATAAGTATCATATTTTGGGTATTAAAAATTTAAATAGGCAATAAAACATTTTCTTGTATCAAGATTTTTATGATTCAAGTGCTGATCGGCTAGTGTAGTTTAAAATAATGAAGGAAAAAGATTGAGATATTAATATATATTTGCCATGGCATTTTCAAAAAAAAAAAAAAAAAAACCAAACAAACAAAAAACAAACAAACAAACAAACAAAAAAAAAAAACAAAAAAAAAAAAAAAAAAACTGTGAATTTTATCTTGACTTCTTCATTATATTTTCATTTCTTGCAAAGTCTGTTGAGTGAATGTGTAAAATTTGTTCTAAAAATATCAAATGAAACCCATATTTCATATGCCTAGCGTATAATAACGGAAAAAAAATGCTCTGAGGAAAAATATGTAGGGCTAAAGTTCCAAGATATCAAATTTAGCAAATGTGTAGATTTGAAGAATTTTCTATTAAATATCCTTCCGCCACAAAATATAGTCTCCCACAAATCTTGTTCCTTGATTTTGTGACCAGTTTTTCAATTGAAAGTTTTATAATTTGCATTGTTTAATTCACATGTTATAAAAATTGAATTGTATTCAATAGTTTAGAAGTGAGAGGTTCTGACGGAACTTTTCTTGAAAACTGAAAAGTGACATACCTTAATTCTTTTTCTCTTGTTTCCTTATTTGTATTAATTAAAATTAGAAAAAGGTATCCAAGGGAGGCAAAGTCTCTTATCTTTACGAGCTAAAAACCAAAAAACAAGCAACAAAGGTTCTGACTGAGAAAAGAAAAGTACTTCTTTCATTTAGAAAGAGGAAGGATACCCTGCTAGAGAAGGTAGGCCTGGTTATAATAAGGCATGGATTTTCATGCACCAACTATTACTTCAAGCATTCCTTTTCGGGCACGTAGCTTTGTTTCTGAAAGGATGTGTTTCCAACTTTGGATAATAGAAATTGTGTTAGAATTACATTTACGAATCTTTGTGGAAGGATATGATGTACTTTAAAAAAAAATCGAGAGGGCCAATCTATGGTGTCCGGATAGGGCCATTTGCAAAAGCTCAACAGCGCGTTCAGAAAAACACGCCGTCGCGCACAACACGTCGTCACGCTAACACACAACATGCCATCGCGCTAACACATCATTGAACAACACGCCGTCACGCTAACACAAGTTTGCACAACATGCCGTCGTGCTAACACACAACTCGCCGTCGCGTTATCACAAAGTTGTGTAAGCGAGTTGTGTGACAGCCCGACAGCGTGTTGTGTAAAGTACAACTTTGTGATAGCTTTTGCAAATGGCCCCATCCGGACACCATAGATATGTACGTCTGAATATATACATATAAAAAAAAACAAAAAAACAGGGCACGTACCTTCCTAAGGAAGAAATTCTTCAAAATCATACAGCAGTTTTGAATATTTTTAATATACCCAATAACCAAAATGAATTTGAATTACCATATTTATATTGGATTCCGAAACTTCATAAAAATGCTTACAAACAAAGATCTAATAGCTGGTTCCAGTAAATGTTCTATCAAGTCTCTTTCTTTACTCCTCAATAAAATATGAAAAAACATTGAAGGAGAAACTTCATGAGTACTGTACAACAATTTATTACATTTTCAACAGTGAAATACTGTGATTTATTTATTGAATAAAAGTGATATTCTCTCACAGTGTGAAAGGATACCAAAATGATATTCTCTCACAGTGTGAAAGGATATCAAAGTAAGTAAAAAATAATTTCTGGCCTGTCATAAGATAGAGATAGTAACTAAGCATCTTGATAGAGCTAAAACTGCAAATTTCTTCCCAAATATGTTGCTAAAATCCATGCTATGTAATGTTTTCTGCATGCTAAGCTATGACGTCTCAACCGCTTAACTATGACGTCAAGCCTATGACACTGTGTTAAGAAAAGACAGAGGCAAAGGGAAAATCAAGGAAAATGTAATAAACAGAAAATTCAATGTTTTGTAGATGAATATGGAATTTATTTCACTTGTGAGACAGGATTTTTTGATATTTTCACTCGTGCTTCGCACTCGTGAAAATATAAAAAAATCCTGTCCCACTCGTGAAATAAATTCCATATTCATCTACAAAGCATTGAATATCCTCTATATATTCGAGAAGTGATGTAAATCAGATGTGGATACTTAAAAATTCCAAGGAACTTTTGAAAAATTTAAATCACAAAATTTCACCAAAATCAATAACATAAAACTTACGACTTTTCAACTCTGTATACAACCATTCCCCATGATGAATTAAAGTCCAGGCTTTTTTACATCATTGACAGCTGCTTTTTCAATAGAAATAAAACTCGTAAATTTGCTTACCTTGTCATTGGTCATTTGCAAAATAATTTTGTTAAAAACATTCTGATTGTACACAAAAGTACTCTGAAGTTGATATTAAAAGGATGCTTGAGTTTCTGACTGACAATATCTATGTCGTTTTTGGAGACCAGGTCTTCCAAAAATTCTTTGGAATTCCCAAGGGTACCAATCGCGCCCCGTTGCTAACAGACCTAGTTTTGTATTATGAAACAGAATTTATTCAAAATTTTAAATATGAGAAAAAGAAATCTCTTGCTATGGCCTTCAACTCAACATTTTGATATATCAATGACGTATTACCAATTAACAAGAGCTATTTCCATTCATATGTCGACACGATATATCCCAGTGAGCTTGAAATAAAAAAAAATACCACAGGGTCTGACACATCTGTTTCATATTTGGATATTTTACTAGAAAAAGACGTTAATGATAATCTAACAACCAAGCTTCATGATAAGCGTGATGACTTTAACTTTTCAATCGTCAGCTTCCCTTACTTATGCAGCAATATACCCTTATCACCTGCATATGGGGTGTATATCAACGCAAGGGCTTGAATACTGTTCGTTATCTCCAGATTTCATCTAAACCTTGAATGAGGTTCTTCTCTTGTATATGTGAGAGAAATTGGCTTATTGATTATTATTTTACATTATTTTTTTTCAATTCTGGTTTGAAAAGTTTTAATATGAAAGAAATATGATATAATAAATTCCCCCAAAATAGCCTTTTGGTCTATTTAAGGAATTCTTTAATTCTTAGACAAAAAGGAATTTTGATAAACAAGTTTTCCGGGAAAAAAAAGAAGAAGAAGAAAAAAAGCTAGATTTTAAAGTGGCCTTATTTTATCTTATTTTGTTGCACTCCTGACATCTGCTATGTATCTTATGAAACAATCTTTTAAAAATTATAACACACAATTACTCATTCAAAGTTTGTAAATCAGTTCGTCGTTTTGATATTTTTTTTATCACTTACGTCAAGGTTTTCATATTGTCTAGACTTCAAAGTATGATTATTTGCTTGTGTAATATATATTAAGGAATATATGTTTAGTAATAAAAACTATTCTGTGAATTGACTGTAAAATGTCCAAACAATATCTGTAATGTATTGATAGACGAAATGAATTTAACTACAAAATAGTATCAAACATTTTCTGCAGTTTTAATTTTTTTAGTAAAGATAGATTAAGTTAATTGATAATTATCCCCTATTTGTGTCAAAAAACTAGCTCAATATATATATATATATATATATATATATATATATATATATATATATATATATATATATATATATATATATATATATATATATATATATATATATATATATATATATATCAAGAAGATAAAAGTATATTTTATAGTATATTTTCCTTCACGGGACAAACATTGTAAGCAACTGAGGTAAACCAAAAACAATCTACTCAGCAATTTATATATATATATATATATTCATTTTTGATCAGCAATAATTCTAACATATATTTTGCACTCCTGACCAAGAGCTTGCAAGTCTTTAAAGTAGAATTATGAAGTATAAATTACATCAGAACATGTTCTATTGTTTCAGTAAAGTTGAGATGGAATTACTTGAATTTTATAACATTTTTTCAGTGTGTATGTGTTTTTTCACTAGTTACTCATCCAGAAAATAATAGTCAAATCTAGCATTTGAAGCAAGTTTGAGAGTGTTCGTCCCTTGATGCATCATCCATGCAAGATTGGTTCAGAATAGGGATGTCAATTTTGTCAATAATTCATATTCGAATATTCAATGAAAGTATTCGAATATATTCGAATATTCGATAAAATAAATAAAATCTGTTTTATTTTAAATATGCATCATCCTACTCTCGTAGGTATACTTACATAGGAAGTAAAATTGTATGAAGACTTGTAGGTGTACAATAAGAAATTCCATTTGATATTTGTCGATGTTTGAAATAAATAATTGATTTAAATGTAGAAAAATATAATTTTAACAAATGAAACGTGTATTTATAGTAGCCCCACCTGAGGAACCAGTCGTCTCATAAAAGGCAAGATAGCCCTAAGGGTATAC